TAGGGAGGCTCAGGGACAGTTCTGAGGGTCACCCTACAAGGAAGCAAGGCAACAGGAAGCAGTCGCAGTTGCCAAGAGCGAGTTGGTGTGCGAACAGGTGGCCCTGCCATCAGTGTGAAGCCAGCGAGGAAGCAGACCAGGTCTTCCTCCAGGGTCTCCAGGAACCACCAGAGCGCCCAGAACACAGGGCGTGTTTGGTGAGAATCGACTCAAACAGTAAACAAACGAGTGGATACAACTGAATGGCACAACGTGCGCCACGAAAGGACTGGCCGTCGGGGCCCGTCATGTTCAGCTGGCTGACCCGCCACAGCAGTCATGGGTCACATCCGTCATTCCACAGGACTCCAGGAGCTGGGAGCATCTTTGGGAGTCTGGTTGACCTGCCCCCAAGACCCTGTCAAGGGAGTTGCCATCTTAACTGCTTATTTATTTATTTATTTATTTATTTTATTTATTTTTTTTATTTCAGCAAATTATGGGTGTACATACGTTTAGGTTACGTGTGTTGCCCTTGGTTCCCCCCCCCCACCGAAGTCCGTGTTTAAATGAAGTTTCCTTGACTTTCCCTGATAAATTATTTTGTGATCTTCTACGGAAAACTATTCTAGGGTCTAAAAAGCCATATAATCAAGGCAGTTCTTCATAAAGTTTAGCTTAAATGCTCTCACTTTGGTACGTGCACGTAGTTTTATTCTCCTGTCCCAGGGGAGACCCAGGACAGTGGCTCATGGGTGCTCATCCCATAACCCTTCTGCTCAGGGCTTGAGGAAGTGGGCTCCCTCTGCACGCAGGAAAGCACAGCTGGGGAGAACTCGGTCCCGTGACCACCCCACCTGCTCCTCTGGGAGCGCTGTCCCCCGAGGACAGCTCCAGCCCCTGCTCTGTAGGTTTCCTGTCTAATACTCTACTGGCTCTTCATCTGTCACTTTCTGGAGCTGTCTCTGCATTGACGATTTCCCAAAGGACTTATTAAATATCCTTTTCAAAGCTGTTCATTTATCACCATCGTGGTCTCAAGCCAACCAAAGAGAGACCCATTTGCTTTGTCTCTGATCTTCCGAGTGTACCAGCAGAGATTCCAGCCTTGAATTCTTAATGGTGTCTGATGCTGTGCAGTCTTATTTGAAAAAATTTCCACAGCACTTGTTTCCAAAGGAAAACATTATTATGCAACAAATTCACATAAGTTCCCTAAGCTTGCACATTAGCTTACTAATGCGCCCTGAAGCGAATGAATTTAACTCCGAGTGTGTGTCTTAAGAACAGAGAAGGCCACTGCAGTTGTCCTCAAAATTTGTGTGTTTTTAAGAAATGTTTCTATCAGACTGATATATAAGGAAATAAATGGATATTTCTCAACTGGACAATTTAGTTGTATTCTAGGTTAGCAGAGACAAAACCTCACATAAATAGACAAACACAGGGAGAGCAGGACTTCCAGAAAAGATCAAAGAAAGAAAACCTAGAGGAGGTCTCGGCTTAGGCAGAGATTCAGCTTACGAGGATAACAGGTAGCGAGGTGAAGTACAAAGACTGTGAAATAACATGTGCTTGAAAGTGAATCTTTATGTTTACCGGTCACTACTGTTTGTGGGGGGCAAGGGAGAGATGCCGTGTTAAACATTTTACATATATTTTCTCTCTTAATCCTATTTACTCTGGCCAAATGCATTTTCTGTTTCATGTTCTGGGCTTTCAGCAAACATTCTGGAAACAAACTGATCATCCGCTGTGAACAACCACAGCTCCAACCAGCGCTGCCACGAGCGGACTCTGGCGGATCAGGGACGTCCCGCCTCACGCTTCTCCCTCTCCTCCCACGCTGCGCTGAGAAGATGATCTGAAGGTCTGAGACGACCTACTCTACAGGGTAAGAGACACCAACTGCAGACAGCAGAGGAGCACTGGAAGAAAACGCCCTTGCCCCACTCCGGTGCCCTGTGCCGTCCTCCTGTGACCTGCGGCTCCGAGCAAAGGTGTCGCTGCAGCCACTCAGCACGGGAGGTCTGATGCCCAGGAAGCTCTGTGGTGAGCTCCAATGGCAGCTGTTCTCTGCTCCCCAGGGAGAATTGCTCACTTCAGTCTGACTCACTATAATTAGATTGGGTTGACTTTAGGGAGCAATGTTTACTTTTACAATAAAATGGCAACGGGGGATTTGCTGCGTGCCATCGCTTAACGGAACAGCGTTTGCACGGCCTGCTCCTGGGCTGCGGGTTCCTCCACAGATAGAGCAGCGTGGGGAGTACCTGCGATCAGACGGTGGTCCTGGGGTCAGGCTTCCCCAGCTAAGGACAACCAAGAGAGCATAGGATCCCCTATAACAGGATCGGCAAACTAGAGCCCACAGGCCAAGCCACCTGTGCTGGTAAATAAAGTTTACTGGAACACAGCTGCACCCACTATTTCTATGTTGTCTTCAGTTGCGTCTGTGCTGCAGCAGCAAAGATGAGTAGCTGTGACAGAGACCACGTGGCCTGCAGAGGCCGAAACTGCACCACCCACTCCCTCACAGAGCACGTCAGCCCCTGCTCCACACACAGGGCCCGCTCTCAGCTATGAGCCATGTTGTCTCTGTGTCCAGCACAAGGTACAATAAAAATCCCAAAGTTCACGTAAGTTTAAAAACTCAAACATTCCGTGAACATATTAGCACCTTTGGTACTAGACCCAAGTATTAGCAACTGAAACTTAACTGAACATTCACTTCCTTGAGCAGAAAGGAAGTCAGATTTCCCTCACCTCTAGCTCTCTCCTAGACACACACACAGATTCCGGCTGTTTCCCTCCACCAATTATTTCATGCTTAAGTGGTCTGGGACCTCAAGAATATATTAACTCATTAACTAATCTGTTTATGCATTCATTTCTTACCTCAACAGATAATTACCGAGCACCAGGCATTGTGCTAGCTGCTACAGAACACAGAGATGGAAAAGACTGACTGATGAGACAAAAAGGCCACCTAACCAAGGAGACAGACCTGCTACAGGAAGTGAGGAACTGTGTGTAACGGAAGATTGCACGGGGAGGCCTGGAAGCCGCAAGACAGCCCCCTAACAGAGTGTGTGTGTTGGGGGCACATGTCAGGAGGCTTTCTCTGAGAAGTTGACACTTACTTTGTCTTGTTGCTGCCTAATCTTTAAGAGATGAAACACGATAATTTCCATAATCACCTGTCCCTACCCCTGTCCCCAAGGGAGCATGACATGGGAGAAAAGTCAGTTGTCCCACAGGACCATTCTAGACTTAATTCTAAAGTGTGCATGACCATGCATGTGTGTGCAGGCACACACACGCACTGCAAATCCTCCCTTTGCAATTGTGTGCCGCGAGCCTTCCCCGAAGGCAGGGCTATGCGGGGCTCGCTCTGCTACAGTGCCTGGCCTAGCTCCACAGCAGATGGTGAGGCACAAATCTGCATGCTGAGGGATACCCACGGGATCATAGGGGAAGAGCCAGCAGGTATGGTAGAAAGAGACCTTCACACGGGGTCATGTTATGATGTCCTTTTCCTGTTGACCATAAAATGGTCAGACAATGACCACTCTGTAAGGCTACACTGAGCGGTTCCATCCCCTTCCCCCGGTGGTGGGAGTGTGCGTGGGGCACTGGGCTACCGTCATCAGAGGAAGGCAGGGAGGGTGTTCTGTAGGTGTGTGACGGTCAGTTTCACAGGAGGATTTGATGGATGTCGGAAACCTCTTCAATCGCAGACATTCTTGAACGCTTAGGTCTTCAACAATCTCCTACCAAATTGCATATTTTTTCTCGTGTAAGAGTCAACGTCTTTGAGGGAAGATGAATTTTATCTCCTCGTAGTTGAGTTGATGGATTGGTGTCCTTCTGCCAAAGTGAGCTCCCAACTTCCTCACTTCCTCCTGTCACACTGGGACTTTGATCAGTTTCACGTGCTTTTTGAAATCTCTGCAATCTGTCTGTAGCATTAGAGACACTTTAATAATAGCTAAAATAGTTTTGTGGCCTATATACTCCCGTTTTTTTTAAACCAATTTGAGGCAATGGAATTAATATGTGACCAAGAAAATATAATTGTGCTGTGGGGAGATACAAGACTATCTTCATTCATATGACAGTAGACAGTGTATCCAATAGAATCCTAGCCAAGCTTTTAAATATGATCATTTGCATTGCCATTTTTGGAAAAGAAAGATTTAGAAATGCAGGTTTAGGTAATCAGCTTGAAGATGCAGAAGAAAATGGTGGCCGGCATCCGGCAGTCCCCTTAGCTGATCTCCGAGCCAGAGGACTTTCTGCGAGGGACAATGTGTACGATCTTGTGAACAAAAGCTAACACAACTGACAAATACCATCTGGTTTTAGACACATGTGATGCTAGAGATCACACTGTCCAAATCCTTCACTGGAAAGCTGGGGCTGCTGCAGCCGGCAGGGCAGCCAGGGCGCGAGCACCAGCTTCAGAGCCCTTGTCCAGCACCGCCGCTCAGGGCCCTCTCCCGGCACCGTCCCCGCCACTCACAGAAACGCCTCCGTTCGGCCAGTTGGAGTGAGAATCCATGACAATATCTGATGTGAAACCGAGGGAGCCGTGGCAGTGACAGCAAATGCCGCATGTGGAGGTGACCGGCTGGCTCCGCACTGGCCAGCAAACCGAGAGGAGCCTGAGCTCCGAGAGCAACTCTCGGTGACGCCACGGTTCGGATACGTCCCATCTCCTTGAGTTCACTGTCAATCTGGACTCTACATATACAGCTATAGGTGGGTACCACCATGAGAATGTCACATGTGGGGACCAAAGCACACGCTGTTCCAATTTTATGATAATTTACCATCTAGAATGAAATAGCCATTTTACATATTCACATATCCCGGTGTACTTCTTCCATATTTAACGTACACGCACACACGCACACACACGCACACCACACGCAGGCTAAGTACAGTGAAATACACTCAGCCTGAAAATACACACATCATCAAAGTCAAAGCAAGGTCATGGGGCTTGATTGGCTTACCAGCTGCTGGCCTTTGGGGCCCCACCCTGCATACTGGAGCTTTGCATTGCTGACTTCTGGTGGGTCCAGACTTTGAGGATCCCTAAAAAAAATGAACAGACAAACAAAAACAAAGCAAAATGTTGGGAACCAAAAGTTCAGATTTAAGAATTTTATCCTCGACCTATAGCTTACTCCTTTCTCCTTCCAGGGCATCAATTTCAGGAGCTTGCTCCTGTGATATTAAACAGTATGTCTCAGTCAGTCTCCATTAGATTTCTTTAGCTGTGTATAATTTATTTATATGATGCTGAAATAGGTCCATCACTGCTTAACCCAAACAGTAAATATTCATCAAGAAAGAACATGCAGAGAGGTCTATAGATCAATTTTTAAAATACCAAGAACAGTCAAAATTAAAAATTAAAATGCATAGCCACGCAGTAATAAATCCCCACAATTTATATCTCCATCTTTGGTTCTCCTAGAACACAGTTTTTTCCTAAGCACAATGCCAGGCCATTATGACCTTCCAGAACCAGTGGCCTTGGGACAGATGAACCCTTTGGTTTGTGTTGATAGATCCAAGTCTAGAAAGAGAGAGAGACAGAGAGTCAGAGACAGAGAGAGACAGAGAGAGAGAGAGATAGAGAGAGAGAGAGCAAGGGAGGGGGTAAATTGAAAGATTTTTTTCCTTTGAAACATCACTTATATTTTTCATTCTTAATGTATCGATAATGCAAAATACCACAATAACAAAATCTTATCTAAGTACTTAAATGTCACAATATATAAAGGGCATGGTGAGCAAGATGAAAACATGAAAAAACTAACACTTCTAAAACTCTTAAATATTTCAGTATGTTTTATAGCCACTGCCGTCTCTGACACGTAGGAAAAGACTGATTTTCATATTTTTTGGATGATGCCCCCCACACGAGGAATGATACCTGTGTTCTGCCAAGCGGGCCAGGTCCTATCCCTCAGCTGCAATATTTCCTATGCTGAAGACAGGGCGGGGAGGCGCTCACCCATCCATGCAGAGAAAATGGCTGAACAGTCTTTGACAAAGGAGGATGCTGAACGTCAGAGGTTGCAGAGACGGGGAGATGAGGCAAGAAGGGAAGGAAGGTGAAGTGTGTGAGGACGTGCTGGGGCAAGGCTTGAGTCAGTGGAAAATTCTAAAGTAATTACTGAATAATGCTACCAGGAAAAAACAGGGAACACATTTCGAGTGAAAAGAGCTGAGGAGGGTGAGAGCCCACCCTGCCCCAGGGTAGTTTTAGATGCAGTTCTTGGGCTTGGAGAAGCCCGAAGCCTGGAGATGGATGGCGTGATGTCAGTTAAAGGAAGCCAGAGATCATCAGGACTCAGTGGGGAAGGTGGCTGCCCAAGCACTCAGAAGACATAGGGAGTCTTAATATCACAGGTTCCAGATGAATTTTTAACAAACTGTACCATTGGTACGTTTTGAATGTTTCCAAGTATTTTCATAAACGTGGGTGAATTTGCTTTGACCCTTGGGATAGAGAAAGGCTTTGATGACTCAAAATCCAGAAGCCATAAAATATAAGATGAATCAATTTGACTATATAGAAAACATAAAACTTTTGCCTGGCAAAAACATCACGAACAAAAGACAACTGAAAAACTGGGAGAAAATATTCATAACATGTGCCATGGATGAACTGCTAGTATTCCTAACATATAAAGGACTCTAAAAACATTGAGATTACAAAAGACCAGAAAAATGATAGAAATATGAGAAAAACATGTAAACAGAAAATTCACAAGAAAGACATAAATATGGCCTCCAAACATATAAAAAAAGTACTCAAATGCACACAAAATTAGAGAAATAGAAATGAAAACTATACCAAGATACCATTTCTCACCTATGAAACTGGCCAAAAACAGAAAGAAAAGTAGGACACATGGTGCTGGCGAGGCTGTAGAGAAACAGGCACTCTCATAGTTTGCTGGCAGGGATGCAGATTGGTACATCATTTAAGAGGGAAATTTGGCAATATGTAATAAAATACTACTTAACTTTTAACCTAGCAATACCATTTCCAGGACATCTGGAAGATTCATCATCAACACAAAAATACCTGTGCAAAAGGTTATATTCATTGCAGCTTTATTTGTAATTATAAAATATTGGCAATAATATGTGGTTGAATAAACTATGGTACATCCTTTTTTAAGGCTGAATAGTATAGAGAGGTTTATATTTAAGGTTAAATTTAAGGTTTATATTTAAGGTTTATTTAAGGTTAAATAGCAGAGAGTTAAAAGGTGGTTTCCTGAGGTTGGGGGTGGGAGAGATGGAGTGATGTTGATCAAAGGGTACGAAGTTTCAGTTAGACGAGAGGAGTAGGTTCTTTAGAACTACTTCACAGTGTGGTGACTATAGTTAATAACAACGTAATGGATATTTCAAAATTGCTAAGAGGATAGATTTTTAAATGTTGCACCACAACTTAGAAAGATAAGTATGTAAGGTGATGGATATGTTTGTTAGCTTCATTTAATCATTTCATAATGTATACATACATTGAAATGTCACGCTATGTCCCATAAATATATACAATTATTATATTTTCATTTTATCCCCCATCAAACTATAGTACCTCCATACAATGAAGTACAGCACAGGTGCACAAAAGAATGAAGATCTCCATAAACTGAGATGGAGTGATTGCCATCAAGGAGTTACGCAAAGCCCAAAAGGATATGTATAGTGCTATCTATTATATAAGAAAGAGATATAAGAAAATATACATGTATCAAGTCATTTGTGCAAAAAGAAATAGAGGAAGCAGAAAGCAGAAGCCAGATGGGACTGGGTAGAAAGAGATGGAAAGAAGGAATGATCCGGAACAGAGTTGCTGGGATGAGGAAGAAGTGGCGTTTCTCTGAGTATGATTTTTGTACAATACCAAGCTTTCCCCAACATAAAACAATAATTAAAAGCAACCAGGATGTTGGGGAACCCAAAGCGAAAGAGAAACACTAACAAAAGAACAAAACTCCATTACAAATGAAATATAAAACCACACCGAGGGGGGTGGGGAAGGAAATAATTGACCATAAGTAGCTTTGGGAGTAATATTTTAACTGGATACTATAAAGCTAAAGATAAAAAGAATTATAAATAAATGCTGCAATTCAGGGAGTAAATGTGTTTCTCACAAGGGTTTGGACGATCAATTCAGAAACTATATGTATACCAGAATTGAACAAATACGCAAATATGTTAATATATGAGAGATAACGAGAGCCAGGTTTTTCATTGCTGGAGAACAAAGTTACAGGGAAAAGGGGAATGCTAAAATAAACTGTGTGAAGTTGGACAGGACTCAGAGGTATCAGTGTACATACACTCATGGCATTCAATATACATACAGATATGTATATATTAATACATGTACGTATGTCATACGTGTAGATCTAGGACATATATGTACATACATGTGCTAGATCTGTCCACCAAGAGGGCCTGGAAACAGTGACACCCAGTAGCAATGAATGAGCACCGTCAGCGTCCAGATCTTGGTCTCTAAACACCATCGTCCAATACGAGGAAACAGGGCTCCTAGGAGAGGTAACTATGCAGGCTGGGGCAGGGAAGATACAGGATGAGTCTGGAACATCTTGTGGGGCCAAAAAGTAATGGAATACTCAAAAGAAAAAAAAAAGATGGCTGCTTATTGAAAGAACGCAGAAGCTAACCTAAAGAAGTTCTTAATGACCAACACTAGAACGATTTTAACAACATAAAAATTAATGATAGTATTGGATTAACCCATCAAATAAAATAAATATCCATGAATCTGCACTAATATAAATAATCAAATAAATCAAATCAAATAAACAAACATTCCTTTACATTATTATTATGAGGAACTTCATAATAGAATTCCAGTTAATAAATGCAGAAGGAAGAAAATAGAATTACCTTTGTATAACACCACAGTAATAAATGTTGCAGATAAGATCCACTGATGGATGATAAAATCAGTGAGCGAAAGTTTGAAGAGAAACAGGATTTGCACAGTCTCAAAGCATCTTGCCTACCGTACTTCACAACTACAAAGGGAAGGATGGAAAGTGCACGTGGCAAAGCCTGGCAGACAGCAAGTTAACTGGGTGATCAAGTTCAAGATCACTGGGAATGAGATACATCAACACCCTTTTGAAATGATGCACTGGGAAGGACAAAACATCACTGATGTGGTGTTTTTTACTAAAAATGCATAACCTCATTCTAATCTTGAGAAGACACTGGAAAAACTCAAGTTGAGGGACACTATGAAAAAATAACTGATAAGTCCTCTTCAAAAGCAAAAGGTCATGAAACACAAGGAAAGACTGAGGAAATCTACAGACTGGAGTGTGCTAAGGAGAAAGAACACCTACAGGCAACATGTGGTCCTGGGACACAGAAAGGACGCTGTAGAAAATGTGTAGAATTCGAGTAAGGTCTGTAGATGACTTAATATGGTACCAATGTTCATTTCCTGTTCTTGGTCATTACACTGAGGTTCTAGAGTATGCTAACGTTGGGAGACGTGGTGTGAGGAATATAAGCAATTTTTATGCACTATTTTGCAACTTTAAGTCTAAAATTGTTCAAAATACAAAGTTTAAAAAGAATTTTATAGCTTATGTCTCATTGGTTATAAAAATCGTCATAGACAGGAATGAAAAGTTAGATGATTTCCTTCCCAACATACCGTGATGTTGATTTTAGGAACTTCAAAAAATATTACTTCCATGTCTAGCACAGCACGGGCACTCGGTATGTGCAGCTGAATAAACAAACAAATGAGTAAACGGGTATGGGCCATGGAGGTGGCACTCAGCTAAGGTCCTTCTGCAAATTTAGAGAGAAGCCTAACAAATTTACTGGGCCTGGGTTTATTTGGAACTTTCTAAGCAACAGAAGACAGAGTAGAAGATCAGAACGAAGTATTTAAACTCCATACCCTTATTAATATTGAAATTCACTTTGTCAGACTGTGATTTCCAGTAGGTGTCTAAGATACTCGGAAAGAGCAGGGGATTAACCTCTCTCAGTCTGACACACGTAAATTTCCC